ATACAACCGGATAGCAAAGTCTCTGAACTGGAATTACGAGAAGGCTCCTGTGTATACTGGACTGGCTCCACACCCAACATTTAGGAAAACCATCCAGGGTTAAGGGTGGGAGAGTTTCCAGCTTCGCCCTCTTCACCTTGAGTGGAATAGTGTTCAAACATCACTCAGGAGAAATAGACCTCTGTCTATCATTCCAGCAACTAGAAATTGGAAGTTGTAAGGACTCCCATGTTCCACTATGGAAAAATGGAGGGAGAATTTGTGTTAAGGAGTCCTGAGATAGGATGCTCAGGAGATGGTGCAATAGGTGAACCATGTTTCCTATTTTAAAAAGCAAACCAACCCTGATTTATTCAATCCAGGAATCAGCAGGGATGGGCAAAATCCCTTTATGCTTTGCTAATGATAGTCCATGAGTGGCAGTACAGTATTGTATATTATGTATGGTGCTGAATAATTGTGTACCACCTGGAAAGTGCCAAGGTGGTCTTATGGAACACTCCATCTCAACATAGCTCACTGTTATCAGGAATTCTATTTATTACTTTACTGATAGCTAGTGTGGATTTAGAAAAAGCATACCCGACCAGGCAACATCTGCCACTGAGTGGGATCCAAATGAAAATGATGAGAGGATCCCTGAAAAGTAATAAAATAACACAGAAGAAATGAAGTCATTTACCTTTGTCACAATTGAGCTGGGGCATATAGAATAGCCATAGGGGGTAGCCTAAACCCATCTGAGGAGGAAAGGGCTAAATCATGTAAATAGTATGATATAAAGATGTTAGGTGTGGTCCACATACCATCCTGTACAACTTACACCAATGGTCAACATAACCAAGCTTCCAGGTATATCAAGATGTTGAACTTGATGAGATGAGACCTGAAGAAGACTCCATTCCTCCAATGAATGTTCAGAGCAAGCCTTACAAACCAACTGATGAATCCAACCAGTCAAAGTGACAGGGGATAAGTCACATGACACAATAGGATCCCAATGAATAAACAAATGCTTCAGTGCTCACCATACTACATCAGATAGCCCGAAACTGGCAGAAAAGATGATCTGGATCCAAGAGGTCATACAAATGTGAAATGGAGTACAGAAGAATAGGAGAGATAGCCTTATTTCCTTCTCTAACTGCTGAAGTTTTAGGTAGAGGAGACATGAACTGAATGACCAATCCACTTCTGAGAACTTGAATGACCCACTGATTTGTGGTAAATATCTCTCACACTGACACAAACCCTCTGAGATAAGACCTCACAGGACCTGACCCCATAAGGTAGTCACCAATACCAAAATCTGCACTCCATCTTTGGAAACGAACCCCCCCCCCCCACTCTGGTGAGGTCAAAATTGCCCTTGTGTTCCAATGGATCATGGAGCTGAAGCAGGGGGCCTAAAAACTGGAATGGGAGATGTAGTAAACCATGTTGTAGAAGGACTTTGGGGCAGTCATAAAGCCAGTGTAGAAAGTGAAGAATGTAGACAGGCAATATCTACTCTAAGATTCCATGGAATCTGGAATTCCCACAAAAATAAACTGTCTGAGAAAAGAAGCTTCTCTGAGCTCTCTAAGAGCCAATGTAAGAAGACGAACTTGATCCAATAAGGCATATCTCTCTAAAAGATCCCAGTAACAAACCAACCAAGATACCAAGAAGAGAGCAGAAGCCAATAGCCTTACCTGGAAGTCAATTAATAAATAAGATCCTCCTAAATTGGAGCAGAGGATCTATGATAGGCCTCATAAAACAGTTGCAAATATGATAAAAAATGCAAAACTGTTGTAAGTGACAGACAAATTTTAGGAAACTGAGATTGATTAAGATGAACAGTGGCATCTTGTCTAAAGCCCCAAGTAGGAAGTAGAGGGTCTGACAATACAAATAAGAGGTCTCCAAGCGATGGAAATCAAGGCATGCTGATCCAATAACTGAGGAGGACAAGGCATGGCAGCACCCTCCCTTAACTGATCTGTAAATCTCCTTGCATGGACAGCAATGTCTGGTAAAGGTGGAAAGACCTGGTAATCAGACAAATTAGTTTCTCCGAATAAAGGTGAGGATTTATAAATCACAGGAGAAATACTCAAAACATTAGAAACATGGCGTACTAGTTGTAAAAAGGTTGCAGGAGGCAGAATGTCCATTTGAGGCTCATCAGTAGCTGTCTAAGCAAACGGAAAGTCCTGGAAAAGTAGTTTCTAAATTCTCATTAGTCCTCCTTGATCTTATACAAACTTAGCCTCAGAGTGAACAGTGGAAAAGACATGAGACCGGATGTAAGATTCAACCTCTCTGTGTATAGGTAACTGTATGTCCTCTACAGAAGGTGTCCCCCCGATGCCCAGATAAGTTGTGAGATGGAAGAGGAGGGGCATCAGGCGGCTCCATGTCTGAGACGAGAACATATATTCATATTTGAAAAACATCTCAAAAAAAAGTTTTTCCCCATAAAATCAAGAAAATAAACAATAAACTTAAGACCCACGAATAAGATATAAAATAGTTCAAAAGAAAACATTGGAAATGTAGTAATGGTGCTGAAGAGCAACACACAGTAAAGATGTAACACAGTCTTCATAATTTTTGCCATAGAAAAAAATGAATAAGAAAGGATAATGGGGGAGCTGGTATAAGGATCAGATATACAGGGTGCATTGACATAGGTGGAGAGAGTCACAAGATTAAAATCACTAGAGGTGACATAGTGGGATATAAAGACTGAAGCAAGTGAAGTAGAATTCATATCAATGCTTAGATGAGCAAAGAAGAGAAGTGTGTTTTGGAAACTATTATGCTTTAACTGGCTTTCTAACTAAGCTATAAGTGCCTTAAAATAATTCACTTACTTAGTAGAGGTGACCTAGTGATAACAACAATGAACCTGTAGGCTGAATAATTCAAAAACTGACACTTGAGAAAGCTACTCTTACAAGTAAATCAATAAATTAAAATATTCTCTTCCTATGGCATAAACAATTTAATAGCAAATGTTAGAGAATTTTACTGACATTTTTTGAAAAAACAGGATGTGATAGGAGGGTATGGCATGTGGGTTATACCTCAGTAAAGTGAAGAGATTGGAATCTATACATTTATGTCTTAATAATATCTATACTTTAAGTTTGTAATTTAGACCAAACTCAGAAGACCATACAGGGATAAAAAGGAGAACTTAAAATGGGCAATTCATATTGAATAAGTGTCACGTCATACATTTAAGTGAAGATTGAAAATTTATTTAGGTATATCCTTCTGAAATTGAGAATGGTTGGTTGGTTGGTGTTTTATGGCG